CTTTTAATATTATAGCATAAAATTTAATATTTATATATATATATTATTTTGCAGCACGTTTAATATTTTATCATTTATACGATTCTTCATTAATTTAACTCATAGCGTAATGTTGCCATACACAGTCTAATGCCTTAGTAAAAAGCAAGACACGTAGAATACATCACCTTTTATTTTTCAAAACATCCTTTCACAAGACATTTTAAAATAAACTCAGGGTCAATAGTATCATAACATTTATTGTATTCGGTTTGTTATTCATTGAATTAAAAACTTGCATCTACGCACTTGTTTAATTTCTCATTTGACAGACTTGTAAAAAAATATCCACACTATTTAAAAGTGAATTTCCTCGACAGATATACAAATTATTTGCATTACCTTTCTCATGGGCCCAGCATGACCAGGTGGTTAGGGCGCTCGACTCGCAGTCTGCGGGTCGCGGGTTCGAATCCCTGTCACACCAAACATTCAGCCGTGAGGGCGTTATAATTTGACGATCAATCCCACTATTCGTTGGTAAAAGAGTAGCCCAAGAGTTGGCGGTGAGTGGTGATGACTAACTGCCTTCCCTCTAGCCTTTCACTGCTAAATTAGGGACGGCTAGCGCAGATAGCCCTCGTGTAGCTTTACGCGAAATTCAAAAATAAACAAACCTCTCTCATGTAACGTACAAGCACCTGATTCGTCACACTGCCTAAGAAAATAACCAATATTTATTATCATAGTAAATAAATCACATAATACTTGTGAAATAGTATGTGTAAGTTCATCTTTGTTGGTGTTATTAGTAAATTCCTTATCCATTTTTGAAATTTATTTCTCTATTATTGCTGTCTTCAAAATGCTCATTATTTTCATATAATTTGATTCCGACACCTGCGTTTGCGATATGAGAAGATATTATAATTAGAGGCTTTGAATACTGTCTTACAGTTTACCAACCACTATAACCTTTATATGCTGTTTGCATTGTTACGTTTGCTAAAGCACAGAAAACCTTTTGGAAAGCTTCTTTATATTGAAGAGAGAAATTTGCTAACACAATTACTGTTATAAATATCCCTCTTTTGTTTACAGCTATTCCCAAATGTTTCTTCTTTTCATAATTGCACAACTGTTTCATTTGTGCTCCTATTTAATTTTTACATTCAGGTTTCTATATAAAGCTTTAATTTTTTATTCCTTTGCTTCTACATACTTATTAGCATGGATGATTGTAGTTTTAAATTCTTTCTTTGCCTTTTTCATATTAAGTAATTTATCATAGAAACGTACAGTTAGAATCATTTTCACCATTTCTACAATTCTCTGCTTTGTTTTATAAAGATAATTTCATCTTTTATAATCTTATTAATTTGAGTTACATATTCGTCCTTTGCAATACTTATTTTTAATTTTGGGAGTAAATGTTTAAGTTTTTCAATTCACCATATTCTTGTTCATCTGTCATACGAAAGCGGGAATTAAAATCATTAATGAAAAAAAAAGAGATATGATTCTACGTACTCGAAAGTTACTTACCAGTTTCGTACTATTTACTGAACCAATTTATAATCAACCACGGATTTACCGTTTTCATTAATAAACGCAAGTTCGCCTTGTTTATTTCCTTGCAGTTTTACCATTAAAAATAAACTTTTCACAGTTATAGCACAAATTTAATACTTTCTCCAAAATCATTTATTGCTTCATTTTTCAATTTACTAGTTTTATCAAACAAGCCTGTGATTAACTGATAATACTAATTTTTACTTTAATCTGATATTCGTTCCAGAAGTATAAACTCGTTCTATTGCTCTTGTAGTCCTAGCATTCAGATATCTTACAATTATGACACGGTTATGTTTTTAATTAATTAGCTTTTACATTATTCACATTTTCAAACATCATTATTACAATATATTTTTTGCCAAAAATACCACAGAAAAGCGAATAATCTGTACAACGCACTGATACGTTTTATTTGCTTTAAACAGAGCATTACACCTTGTTTCTCATGCTACCAGATAAGATTATCAGTGTATGATTATGAAATAATGTTCCAAGTGTCCCCACAGTCCAGCCAAGTTGTTTGATTGCCATTTGTCCTTATTAGTTTCCATATAATCTCAAACCGTCTTAATGATATTCATATCGGGACTTTGTGCTAACCAACCATGATTGCGAGTTTTATATCGACCTCAGTTTTTAAGCAGGTGCTTCATTCATGCTTGGGACCACTGTGTTCCTGGAACAAGAGTCCCTGCCCAACAGTTTTGTTCCTAAGGATGTGCATTATTGATAAGTATCTATTTGTTCCTGTCAGCAGCTCATAGTTGTTTTGTCCACCCAGTATGGTTAACTGTCATCTATACTAACTATGATTGATTATTGCCAACCTATCCCTCCTTCAACTTTGCTTATTCTTTAAAGTCTGATGCTCAATCTATTCTTTTGGCTTGGTCATCTCTCCTAAGCACGTCCATTGAAACCATTTTGTGCGAATGTGCATCTTACTGTTCTCGATGTAACATTAACATGTATACTTGCAGCAAGGTTAATATTTTATTGCCATGTATCACATAAAAACATACCCTACGTTACTTAACATTACTTTAAAGAGTTTGGTCTTTCTACTTTGACTGCATATATGGTCAACAACACTAGTTTTTCGCATCTTCTTCAGAGTATCTATATAGCTCCTACTGAAATATAAAACTTTACCCCCAAATCGTTGGAGTAACCTTTACCAGCCAAATATTTGATTACTACATATTGCATATGTCATTTCTATCCTGAGAGCCGTGACTATTGCGTTAGTGTAGAGCTGTCTAATTGGTTAGATGACTGCTTCTCATAGTGTAAGCTATCAATACGCAACTATACTCTGATAAAGTTCATTTTCATAAAATAAATGGGAAACAAACCCATAATATTTGCAATTTATTCACTGCTCTCGTAATTAATTGCTATACTGAAAAGAGCAATTTCTCCCAATACTGTGCTTTTTTTTTTTACTTCTGGTACCACAATACAATGGCAATAATTGAATACATTTTAAATACCTTATTATTTCCTTTTATATTATCCAATGATATAAGTTTTCACTATTATTTTACTCCATACATATTGTTGCATACCTTCAATATTCCTTGAAAAAGTCCCCATTACACAGAACCAAGTCATTTTTACTATAATGCCCTCTAACTTCTCTAATTGCCTCACTTCAACCACTTTATAATTTTTGAGAACACTGATGCTTATTTAAAATCTCTAGATATCTATTGGCGTTGTGGGCGTGGAACATTTCAATGCCAATGTACAAATGTTCTTACTATAAAATCTCCATCATAATCCTTCACCACTTATAACGCAGTCACTGTTGCCGTTTCAGTTGCCTGCTACTAGGCTTATATTTGACAATCACATGGAATATAGGCAAAGTGATTATCGTCCCTTTAGAAAAGTTATAATCAATCTTCACGATCCTGTTATTACCGAATTTCGAACGAAGCAAAAAGTCCGAGTAATATTGGGGATGATGTATGACCTGCACATCTCGCCTTTATAAACTATCCTTAAACCTTATAGATGTAGTCTGTTCACACATAATCTCATTAGGTGAGTGTAATCGTTGTAAATTTGTTGCAGAGGTGTTCTTTGGCATTTTGATAGTGCTAATTAGTGGGATTTAACAACACTTTCGTCTGACTTGATCGTTTTATAGATGTGATATACCATGAAGATCTTGTTACCATTACCGTCAGCCTACACATTAGAAATCGGGCAACAAAGCAAAATAAGTATGTAACCTTCTTCTATCAAAGTCACTTAATCCACGACGTTCTGGTATTTTGCTTATATTTCAACACTTCTTATATGTACACCTAATGCAGAGAATATTTATATGTAGAATATTATAAAGGATGATAGAGTTATAAATGACTTTAAAACTTACTAATTCCCAAAAGGCAACGTGAGACTGAAGAGGATGCACGAATGTGTCTAAACTAGTTTCTCTAATATCAAGTCTTCTGAAAATTGTTCCATTTACAGTAGTTTTTCACTTACTAATTCCCAAAAGGCAACGTGAGACTGAAGAGGATGCACGAATGTGTCTAAACTAGTTTCTCTAATATCAAGTCTTCTGAAAATTGTTCCATTTACAGTAGTTTTTCACTCACTAATTCCGCTAATATTTCTACTGTAACCTTTAAAAAAGGAAATTCAACAGCATTATATAATTAGTTTAGATACAACGCTCTGTTATTTACACTTTTCATGGTTCATAAACAATGACTACGTTAAATAAAACAATTCGCAAACCACCTCATCAGTTTTGGCGACAATAAATCAAATCTCGCTAGCAATTAGAAAAGATCAAAGTATTAGTTGAATAATATTTCTTATTGCAGAGTCGGAGAATGTGACTTAAGAAAAACAAGTTGTTGTTTCCAAAATTCAAATATTATGCGAATAAATGAACAAAACATCTTAGGACTTATATTTATACTAACTCTAAAGCTTTATCTTTGCTGCACATTCCTGTTGAGTAAAATGTGTTGTAGAATATAAGAATTTACAATTAAATGTTAATTTATAAAAGTATCTTCTTACAATCCAAGATAAGAATCTAGTCCAGGAAATATTTTTATGTTATAGTAATTAAATCTTGAAGAAAGTCGTAATAACTCACGTAAATGAATCAATATTTAAAGCATTTCAGATGCTTCATTTTTTTATTCTTGATCAATAAAATAACGACGTTTGTGAAATCATTTTGGTCATTGCAATATTTTATACAAAGTAGAATGAATCATGTTTTAAAGTTAGATACTTAACTTACTTTATGGATTCACTTTATAAAAAAACAACAACTTATTTTTAGTAAAACTCGTTAGAGGAAATTGATGTAAGTGTGTTTTTAATAAAGTGTTTGTTTGTAGTGACGGAAAACTTTTCTAAGTTGGAACTCTGTAACTGACGGGAAGCATGGATGAAATATCATCAAAACTTACCCGGATATCCTTTTAGCTTGTCAAGGTAAACCACTGGATCGGAATCATTTAATGTAACAGCCACTTTCATCATTCTACTGGAGCATGAGACGTCGTAACTGACTGAAAGGCCAAACAAAAAACGTCAAGCTCATTTTATAAATGATTGTTAATAATATTGTGTAACATCATAACTACACTCAATAGCATCTCAGGTTTAGATCTTATCGGTACAATATCTTCATAGTTCGTTATGATCCACATCATTTAACGTAATCAAATATTTTATTAACTACGGGAAGTCTCCACCAGAAGCTGTAGTTGGTGTCTTGTATTCCTAAAACTAGCAGAGATCCGAAAAACATTTGCGATTATATTAATATCTTTATTGCTAAAGTCTTCTTTAAATACAGAATTTGTAGAATGATCCAAAAGAATTCTAATCTACAAGTCCACTTGTCTTAGGCCTAACTCAGTTAAGCCTTTATTAAGTACGCCCTACATTCGATAAAGAGATAAATTAACATTTGCAACTTGTGTACTTTTTTCCCACGCAACACCTTACTATTTAATGCACTTTATTTCAACGGATTTAAAAAAGGCGGATATAAATAAAGTTGAGTATACATTTTGTACAACCACATAATAAAAGCTTTTAGAAATGTTTAACTTTAGGTCGTAGAATAACATGTTAAGTTCATTTATTTATAGTATTAAGTACGGTAATGTTTAGCCCTAAGTAAACTAAAGCAACATTTTCAGGACAGAAAAAAAAAAAAGAGTATTAATATAATAGTAGGAGGAAGAGGACTACGTAGCACCTGACCCTCCATGATTCCAAAAATGATCTGGATCACCATCAAAATCTACTATGATAGATACTTTCTTGTATGACTGCCACAGAAAGAAATACTCAAATATGTTTATCATAGAGTTTGTTTTCAGAGTGCAGAATTTGGCTCACTGTCACAAGACGTACATATTTTGTATAGTTTCTTATAGACTGATTAATCAATTTTCAGGATACACATCAACTTTCCATTTAGTGTTATGCATCTCAACTATTTTTTTTTCATAAATGTTTTTAAGACTATAATCCAGTTTGTTTAGCACAGGCGGTCGTTGGTTGCAAGTATGAATTTGGAATACGAAACTTTATGCACCTTGACGATCAATAAGAAAGGTTGCGTCTATAGAGAAGACATATTTGTGTAAGTGAACACTGAAGACAGAAAGTAAAAAGGTAAACAAAGAAAAATGCCAGTCGATTTAGCCATCATGATTTTAAAACTATTTCAAAATGAAACGACGCCGATGTCTGAAGATATTAATAACAATAACATAATGACATTTTTAAAATTAAATTTACAGATCATTTACGCAAACAAAATTCAAAAGCAATCTTCAAATAATAAATCTTATGTGTTTTCTGTCATCATTTATTAAAGAATTTGAATATTTTGCTTTAATGATCAATAACTAGAATACTTATGGTTTTACATTAATGGATTTTATAGTTAGAGAAAATATATAAAAGCTTATTTTATATTAATTATATCCAAACACGGCTTTCGGCGTTCCAAAAAATTTAAAGACACCGACACAGTAGAAACATGAAAAATGATGGTTTGTAACATTAGGAGTTTTCCAGACTGCCTAAGCTGAAAATTGTGTATTCTGCTTTGGCATGTACGAAAATGGCATGTACTGCTCAGATCTCTTCAACGGTTTCATGATAGGTTCACCAGCAGCGAAATCTCGCGGATCATTCAAATATGAGGAAAGCAAATCGTGTAAGAGCCTTTACTCTGTTGGCAATTTTATAAAGCGAATTGGTGGTTCAACGATAAGTCCGCAGGCTTTTAACGCTAAAAATCTGGTTTCAGTACTCGAGCTGGGCTGTGCAGGCAGAACACAGCTAATCCATTCTGTAGCTTTGTTCTTAATAAAAAAAAACAATCAAGAAATAATTTTTTCTGAAAATTCGTTTTTCAAAAAAATTAACAGTTACATATATGCTTTACTAATAGATCAGACAGTAGTGAGAAAAATAATCAATTCTTACTGTCCGAAAAAATCGCAATAAAATTACAATTTCAGTTTGAGCATTTAGGGTTCGTATAAATAATAAATCATTGAAATATTGATGCTTGCTATCAGCAACATTTTCATCATCCTCGTACGAGTTGAATTTGTCTACTATATAATTTAAACCTTAAATGAATTGTATTATTAATCATGTTATTGATAGTCATGCACATTAGAAGTTGTTTTTTCATACGTTTCATATATTTAGATATTTCATATCATTATGTATTCATACCTAAGTATTCATATCGTTGAGCTAGGGCACTTATATTTATTGCCCGATGCTTTGAATTTTTATAAAATCTGAAAAGAAACTAGATGCCTTTAAGACATGCGGCTATTCATGGTCTGTTTGAAATGAAAGGGCTATTTATCTACTTTTGTGCCCTATACTGTCAAATCTCAGTCGCTTAGTAGTCTAGCATTGATAAATTATACTGAAGGAAGAATATTCAAGATATTCTAATTCGATTGTAATGCTCGAGATACAAACATGTCGGACGAAAGGCTTTGAGTTGGAACTATACTAAACATTTACCAGTGGTTCATAAAGAAAAGTTAATATAATTCTCAACTACAGAAATTTAATTTAGTTTTATGTTATTTTTTCAATCACTAAAATATAAATAAATTGGATTAAGTTAGTTAGTTCTATATGCTCTTTCTCGAAATATGTTTTATTTTCGTTGCAAAATACATAAAATAGATCCCTATGTTTCAATATAAAAATGTAATTAATATTTATCAATAATGTTTTACTGACGATTTTCTAAGCCAATGAATATGACAGAGAAATAAATATATTTATAAAATAATGTTAATTATCTAAGAAAGTTATAGTTCTATGAAGAATAAGTATAAATGCTACTTTGTTAAGTGTTTTAAACATAACTATTTCTTACGAAAAAAAAATTATCTTTTGATATACATTGAGGTGTTTAAGATTATCGAGGGAATTGATAGTGTTGATGTATCATCTTTATTCATACTAACAGTGAGAATAACTAGGACAGTTTTATTTTTCTAACAGGTTGGTTGGCCTTTGGAATGGGTTGCCTTCTGATGTCCTGGAAGCAATACATTTAAGTGAGTTTAAGAGAAAGTTTGTTAAGTATATGAATGATAAGGACTGGAGTTAAGATTTTCCAAATTTATTTATTAATAGTTTTAGTTTAGTTTAAAAGATGGAACAGCTGAAATGGACCAATAGGTCCCATGTTGTCCCAAAACGTTATGTTATAACCAGTGATAATTTAATTTTGTTAACATTTAGAATTTTGAGGATTAATCTGAGTTAGAATTTCTGATCATAAATAATGCCACTTTCTCAAGTGAACAGTAAATATAAAATTACAATAATTTAACGCAATTATCGCATACGTAAAAAAAATCACTTAAGAAAAACCTATTCAGATGACTTATGTTATAGATTGTTGTAGTTTATACAAAAAGTGATATTTCTACAAATATTTCGTACATATTAAGTATAACTAGTATTACATAAGCCTAGTAATTTTTTAGCTTACTCTATTTCGTGCCAATCGAGAATTTCTCTCGGTCGCACATTAGTTTCGTGGATATAATCTGATAAGCCATCCAAAATCCTACTATTATTTCCTCATTAACTTTTTTATAAATATAGTTCAAAGTTTCGCCAATTGCTGATATGTTTCCGTGGTAGAAAGAAGTTCGATCTTTCCCACAAGAGGAACACCAAGCTACTGCTTTACTGGCGTGAAGGAAATTTCCTGGCTACAACTGATAATGCCATGAGTGACGAATGAAGTGCTTGTTACCCAGACACAACGAACTCGGAATCAATGACAGATTTAAATGAACATTCGTTTAGCTGGTATTTCAATTTGTATTTTACTCGGCATGTTTCTTCTCCTCGAAAGAGAAGAAAGGTGATTAAGAACGGATTTTGAAATGCACAAAATGTCGATTAAAATCAAGTGCTTCACTTGACTGAATATAAAAAGAAATTTATTTTCCTTTTAATCTTAGATTATTCTTATTTCAGACATAGTTTAGACAAAAGGCATTTTGTTTCAGCAATGAAAGTTTAGTTAACTGTTGTTCTTGTTCTTCGACGTATGAATAGAAGCGTATATAATTTTGTATAACGCAAAAAGAAATCCGCAACATATTCTTAATCGTGAATAAAATTTGCTCATATAATATAACGAGAATAGGAACGCTGAGTTCCAATTTTTAGTGGCTTTTTCTTTCCTTCTTTCTAAAGTGAAACGGCATTTCGGTGTCTATGCTGTAATTTCAACAGCATAGTTTCTAAACTTCTAAGAATGTCAACTGGACCTGAGGACAAGAATATATGTGATTTTGAAATATATACATTAAAATATTGTCATAACAATGAAAGTAGATTCACTACAAGTTACATATAAATATGCCTACAAAGTCTGTATCTTAAGAATTTGATTTTAAAGTTTGTATAGTAATATTTCCCCTAAGAAAACGAGTATTTTAATGTAATAAGTGTTTGAAGCACATTGGTTTAAATTACTCTTTACAATTCAATTTATGCATTTATTGTACTGAAAGTTGTAAGGTTTCAATACATATTTCTTCAGTCTTTATAAAATAAAACTAAACTACTGTAGTTAGTTTGGTTATTTAAAAAATATGGTAAATAAGGAGTCGTATGTAGTTGAGCGTCCGCTTGTAAATATATATATATATATATATATATATACATGGATAACGGAATCTGAATAACAGAATTCAAACATCTTTGAGAAATAAAGATAACATTTTCGAGAAGTATTTTTTTATTTAGCACAGGTTACATTAGTATATCATATTAATATTTTAAAAAACTGAATCAGCACATTTGTAATGCATAATTGGATCTGAATGCCCAATACGTTAAAAATAATTTATTTTAATTTTACCTAATTTATAAATGTTCGTTTTACCTCGTAATTATAAACTTGTATGTAGTATACGAATTGACATTTCACTTCAAATCACATGCGTGGAATTAATTGGTCATGAGGCGGGCTGTTTCATTT